GTTAACAAAAATGACTCTGTTAAATTGCTTTGTACTTACCTTTTTCTTTAAAACCAACCAGTCAGTCATCTATTTAATCGTTAAAGCTTTAGATATTTAAGTTGAAAGAAAATTACTAATCTCTAATCGTACTTCGTCATTGATTTACTAACACATGGATTCCAAAAAATAACGATTCTTATTATTCTCTTGATTTGATTTATTGAGACACTTTAACAAAAAAAAAAAAAAAAAAAAAAGAAGACCCAATTCCGTTAAAGAATGGCAAATTGACGTTTCTGTCCAATATTTAATAATCGTTACGGTCTGATTGACAAGCGTTTATAAACAGATTTCGAATTAATATTATTAAGTAGTATTAACGCGGTGATTTTTTGTATTTTTAATTACAGATCATAAATGGAAAACACATACTCTATAGAATTATATGAAACGTAATGTTTTAAACTGGAAATTATCAAGACATAATATAAATTGATAATAAATGCTTATAGATTTTCTATATCTATTAATGATTTATTTATTCAGCCACACTTGCCTCTAAGAATATCAAAGTCTATATTGAACAGCTTATGCTCATGATTTACCTTGAGTACGTTAGCAAAATGGCTGCTCGCTTTATAAAAAAAAAAAAAAAAACGTTATGTCAAGCTACTACGCCATTACCTAAACGTGCATTTTCCCATGGAAATGGTGCACCATAACCTTAAGAATTTAAAGGATCACATTAAGCGGTTATGAAAAGTGACGTTATATTTTCATGGAATAAAGAATCGGAATGTAAAATATAGTTATGTAAATTATTTGCAAATCGAACAATTTTACATTGAACGTATCACTCCAAAGTTTGCACATTTAGATTCTATTAAGTTTATGAGAATTTTCAAAGATCTTTTCAGTAATAGAACAGAAAGTCGAGCTGACAATCAGGCGATGGATGTAACGTTCTCTTTATGATGTAAGGTCATAACAAAACATATAAATTATAGATAATGTACAATTAGTTGTAAAAAAAGAAAAAAAAATCCTAATTTTTCTAACAAAATAACATGAATAAGTTGATGTAAACGTGTGATTTATACAAAAAATTTTAATATGCAGACAGTTGGTATTGCATTCCCTGGCAATGATTACATAGTATTTATATTAGTTTTTCTGACATTTTTAAATTTAACAGTGACTTCTTAATACATTAATAAGCTTGTTAAGAAGTATAACAACAATTGGTTTGCATTTTACTTTTGAGAAAATTTTGTTGTAGACTTTATAAGGAAATGAAATTACAATGAATAATACCATCGGTATTTTACATTTTATTCATTAATATCGATATTAGTAATTCCCTTGTGTACGCTTTATAATAGATAAAATATTTTACGTTCATTGCATTACGTGTATACGTTCATGCAAACACTATATATATATATATATATATATATATATATATATATTTATTATTTTTTTTCTATATAAATATCCCTATTAAAAGATGAAGGAATAATTTCACTTTATATTTATAATCATTGAGAAGATATATATTCGATACGATAGGTTAAATATTATTATTTATTGATTTTATAAAATATACTTACAATAGAGACATTTACTTTTATCATTCCATTCATCGAATAATAAAAATGCAATAAAGATTATATACAAATTCTTTTTAAATTTCCAAACGACACATCATCGAATATTATTATCATTATATTCTATTTAAAATAATCATCACAGTAATGTGATAAAAATAGACAACATATAATTATGTCATTTGCTTTGTAGGAGAATTCATATAAGAGGATGTAAAATGATTTAATAAATGTTAAAGGTCGTATGGTTAATTTATTTTTTATTTAAAATATTAAAGTGACTTTTCAAATTAATATCCAATAATTTATTATTTACAGTGTACGATTGAGAATGAAATTAGATGAAATTGAACTCTTATGGAACATTTTAGATATATAATATTCGTAATACTCGAAAACGTACAAATCATAAATGATTTGTCTCAAAATTGAAGTACAAATAATTTTCTATTTATTGTTTATTAATTAATTATCATTATTATATACTTATAAAAATTTTACATATCTAATAATCATGTGGATGAAATTATTTTCTTTGTAAATTGTTATTTAAAATGCATCACTCAACATCCTCTTATTAATACGTTACAAAAATCATTAATTATAAACAATTATATCGCTTATGTCATTATAAAAAGGACCGACTTAATAGTTGCGCTTACGACCTCAAAATATATCGTTATAATTTGACGGACAATGGATATGGATACGGTTAATATCGTAAATCTCATACACTTATATTTTTATCTTAAATATTCATTTCATGCACGAATTAATACCTGAGTACAATGATTATTATAATATCCAAGATCACGTGTACTTTTAATATCCGCTGCACGAATTACGTCTCATTTTAACGTTTCCTTTCATTTAATTAAAAATGATATATTTTTCCCCATTTCATTTATGCTTTGTCTTTTGTTTTTCCTTTCATCTTATGGACTGCATTCAAATTTAGAAAAAACATGAAGTAACAGCCAAGTATTATTTATTTTATTCTATTTACCATTTCGTACATTAAGTCATAACGTGTCGAATGTACTATCTTATGCAGTAAGAAGGAATTTAAGTACAAGTTTTGTTACGAAATTTATTGGGGATATATTTATAAGTCTGTAATCTATAATAATAATAATAATAATAATAATAATAATAATAATAATAATAATAATAATAATAATAATAATAATAATAATAATAATAATAATAATAATAGCGATAATAATAATAATAATTATTATTATAGCGATAATAATAATAATAATAACAACAACAACAACAACAACAACAACAACAACAACAACAACAACAACAACAACAACAACAACAACAACAACAACAACAACAACAACAACAACAACAACAACAACAACAACAACAACAACAACAACAACAACAACAACAACAACAACAACAACAACAACAACAACAACAACAACAACAACAACAACAACAACAACAACAACAACAACAACAACAACAACAACAACAACAACAACAACAACAACAACAACAACAACAACAACAACAACAACAACAACAACAACAACAACAACAACAACAACAACAACAACAACAACAACAACAACAACAACAACAACAACAACAACAACAACAACAACAACAACAACAACAACAACAACAACAACAACAACAACAACAACAACAACAACAACAACAACAACAACAACAACAACAACAACAACAACAACAACAACAACAACAACAACAACAACAACAACAACAACAACAACAACAACAACAACAACAACAACAACAACAACAACAACAACAACAACAACAACAACAACAACAACAACAACAACAACAACAACAACAACAACAACAACAACAACAACAACAACAACAACAACAACAACAACAACAACAACAACAACAACAACAACAACAACAACAACAACAACAACAACAACAACAACAACAACAACAACAACAATAATAAAATACATAATGCAGTTATGATTTATTCGTTGATTTTATGAAATTAAGGAAGAAATTAATCGTAGGCAAATAAATTCTACTCGATCATTTTAATGAAAAATTGTCATTTCTATTCTATTCATTTAGTTTGAAAGATTTTCTTAATCTTAATAATTATGTCATATTTTTATTAAAGTCGTAATAAGCTCGAATTCGGCAGCGATAATTGTATCTCGTCGTCATTTATAAACCTGTTGCCATTACTCAACTACAATCAAATTCTTGTATATATATATATATATATATATATATATATATATATTAGAAAATAACTTATAATAATGAATTATTAAGATAATTTGTTCACTGTAAAATTGATAAAGAAATAGAGAAAAAATATTGAAATCAGTATATCGTTATAAATAACTTGTAAACATATAGTCAATGACATACGGCAGTATCGGTAGAAGGAATTTGCATTAATTTTCTATTTAATCTAGTTTAATTATGTTGTTATATGTAGGCAAAAGAAACAATGAAACAACATTGAATTGCTTTTCGATTTAGCTAAAATGTAATGCTTATGTTTGTTTGTTATTTAAAATTTCGACACATAGAGCAACAATTGACAATACTCGAGGTGCATTTAGCGCACTTATTATATTTCCATCATTTGCTTAAATCTGAAAGATTATCATTAATGTTCTAACACGTTGCATCCGTCACTTTTTAATCTTCTTTTTAGATTTTTTTTTCTTAAAAAATATTTTTTTATGAAACTTTTATTGAACGACTGAATGAATAAGTGGTTATAATATAAAGGTAATTTATATAATTTATATTACATTTTGTACACTGAGATAATTAACAATAAATAATAAGCTAATAAGCTAGTAGATTTGCGCGATACTTATACGACTCGTGCTTTATGAGTTTTTTTTTGACGACAAGTTAAGATAGAATACGTAAAGCAGTTAAAAAATTTAAGCTCCATACTTCAGTCTCTGGACTTTCTCGAGAAATCAAGGTATCCAGTTGCTATTTTTCGTTCTATGTATTATTCTTCTAATAAAATAATTATTTTTAGGATAGTGTCTACTGGCTACTTTTTATTTTTATATCGTATATTCTCATAACTAACTACTCTATTTATGCAAAAATTTCGGTCTTCGGTAAAGTCCGTTACAATTTTGTTTTTATAACATTTAACGATGTTTTAAGCATAAATAATATCATTACTTGAGGGGTAACGGTAAAATATCCCGTCGTATATTTCAAAATGATCAGCCATTGCTTTTCCTTCAGAAGTTGTTACTTGTTTGTTCCCGTAATTTCAAATGGGTCGTCTTTTGTTTTTCTGTTTTTTTTTTTTTTTTTTTTTTTTTTTTTTTTTTTTTTTTTTTTTTTTTGTAAAATTTGTACAGTGTATACAACGTTGCGATACGTTAGTATAAGACAAGTCGAGCATTTTTCCAAAAAAATCTGTTTATACTTGTGTTAACAATGTACATTGCGTACCGTTCTTCAGTGTATCTTTTTCCTTTTGCTGATTTAGCGGATCTCGGACTTCGCTAGTAACGGTGATATTCGATCGCGAAGTCATCGTTACGGTCGTTGTCGACGTTTTGCTAATAAGGAGACCGCGCTCGTTCTCCTCATCTTCGCCATCATTCTTCGAATTTCCAGATGTTAATTTATTGGCTTGAATGCGTTCAGCGTGGGCTTTATTCCGACGTGGAAAGACGCTGTTTTCTATATGAAGTGTCGCATTGACATCGTTGCCCGCCGCGCAAGTGCAGGCTTTTAGAAAGCTTTTCTTGAAATTATCGCTGAGGAAGGCGTAAAGAATCGGATTCATTGCACTGTTGGAGTAACTGAGAAAGCCAGCTAATAAGAAGGTTGTGATAGTGATGCGCGACTGGCACTGATTTGGTTCCGTGTAGATGAGTGCCATTTGAGTGAGCCAGTAAGGAAACCAGCAGATTATGTAGACCGTTATTACAGTCAGAACCAATCTTGTTACTTTGCGATGCGATCGCTTCTTTTCCTTGGATTTATTCTTTGGGCCAACAGTCTGTAGCTTTCTGATAACTAAAAAGTAAAAAATAAATATGAGCGTCAAAGGTATCGCGAAGCCGAGGATAAAACTGTATAATGTGAAGGTGGTCTGTCCACCATGATCATCTGGCCAGTATATGTTGCAGCTCATTTGGCCATCTTGAGTTTCCATTGTATTTGCATAAAGAAATACGGGGATCATGAAAATGGCACTGGTGATCCAAGCAGTCAGCGAAATTATCTTCGAGATGAACGGAGTACGTAGTTTTGGGGAGGAGATTGGATGGCACACGGCGATGTATCGATCGGCGCTCATAATGAAGAGAAATATACTGCTAGTAAATTGGTTAATACTGGTTGTCGTCATGTATGCCTTACACATGAATTTACCGAAAGTCCAGACACCGAGACTCATGGTTGTTACTAAAAATGGTATACCCACAAGGAAACACTCGTCGGCTATTGCCAAATTAACTATATATGTATTAGTGACAGTTTTCATCTTGGAAAACCGTAGCACTACGTATATGACGAGAGTATTACCAAGCAGTCCGACGATACAGATAATTGAATATAAAATTTGATGGAGGAGAGAGATGATTGGCATATTGGCATCGCAGTCGAGAGGCATAGTAATATTTTGATGGCTGCCATTTTCTGCGAAGTCTAGAAGACCGATAGATACGTTATTCATTTTAGCCGTAATGATCTTAAGATTATTTATTTTTTATTATTGTTTCGCGATTTTTTTTTTTTTTTTTTTTTTTTTTTTTTTTTTTTTTTTTTTTTTTTTTTTTTAATATTCTTTGCTGAAAAGCTTTTTACAAGCTCTTTTACCTATATATTTCATCAATATATTTCATCAATTTTGGCATTAAAATTTCTCGAATGATCGACAGCAGATTAATTTAGACATTGAAATTAAATCTACGTAACGTTGCTGTATATTAGAAAACTCTATAACACTCCGTAGTTCACACATTTGAATAAACTTTATTTATCCAAAATCGATATTCTTGGGTTCTTGGGTTCGAAGTTTATTGGAAAATTTTACTGCAAATCGAAGCCCATGTTGAGATTTTCTGTAACAGAAAAATGATATTAGTTAATATTGTTCCTCGATAACTCACGAATTTTGTATTCGTACAACTACATACAATAAATAGATACACTAACAGTAATATTTAAAATGAATTAAGTAGAAAAGAAAAATTTATCTTTCATGAATTTGTATTATTTACAATTTTAGTTATAATATAATATTGCTTATTTATTATTTAAATGATAAAAGGGAATATCCTAATATTTATATAAGATTGTATACAATTTTTTTATCTATGTATTTGACGACTAATTGCACTTCATATGTATATCAGACATTTTTTTTTTATTTTATTAGAATAGCTGATGCGCTATCGAAAATTTATTAGACCATTATACCTTTAATTTAGTTTAACATTTATTATCAATATAGATAAATAAAATTGATAGATCGGTCGTTATATGCATTTATCTTGCGGTGCGTTAAATTTTGTATTTGTCGAGAATGCTAACAAGTGTATAGAAGCATACTTATTGATTAAATTAAAGATACTTTTGATGTAATTTCGCATTAAATTATCGACCAAGAGCTTCAGAAAGGCTTTATTGCGCCTTGTTAGTCAGCGTATAATAGTCATAGTTATATAATATAAGGAAATTTGTGTCATGCACGTAACTGCTATGCACGTTAAACTTTATAGTTCAATGTTTGTCGATTGAATCATCATTGTATAGATTGAAGCTTTCAGGGTACCTGATACGCACTTAGTTAACTGTTGTCCATATGGCAATTTCTAAAGAATATATATATATATATATATAAGATGAAGTATAGTGCTTTATTAAAGAAATACAAATCTTAGTAAGATATGTCTTTGTTGTATGTTATATATATTTATTTGAAATTCAAATATTTAATTAAAAAGAGTATTTTAATATCTAAAAATGTCATCTTTACATGCTCTAACTAATGGAAGAAAGAAAGTCGGTTGATCTCAATTTCTTTCAATTTTCCTTACATTGGCCACGGATTGGAAATTATATTACACGATGGAACAAGAATTACTAAAATTTGAGTGTCGCCAATCTTAAACATTCATACTACAATATAACAAACTTGTTAATATTAATTTTCTATCAGTAATTTTGCACTCTATTTAATTCATCATTATTTATAACATTGTTATATTACGTAAAATTACGTATATTACTAAAATTTATCGATTTAAAACAACGAATTCATATTTCTGAATTTTATATCTTTACTAAGAGAGAATACGTAAAGTAAAGAAATAAAATTCTCTTAATTATATCATGCATGTGAGAAAACTAAAATATATCAAAACATTAATGCCGCATTACATATTTCTAATGTTTATTCAAATAAATCGTTTTGAAAGAATATTAATATCCAAAATAACAAAAATATACTTCTTCATTTATAACATTCGCTTATATTTATTTCAAGTGCTAAGAATTTAATGTAAGCCACGTTTTTATGCTTACAGCAGATCATACAAGGACAGAGATGAAAGAAGCATACAGTTGAAATGAGCACAAAGTCTTCAATGCCTGGAGACCGATAGCCGACAAAAATGTCTTTCCAACTCTGCAAATTTTTTTACCAGAGAGCATAATGGTAAGCTACAATTGTCCATGAAAAGTTCTTAAGTCATAGGATTGCATAGAGTAATGCCTAAAATATGAAAAACACAAAAAAATCTTACTTAAGGATGCCATATTTTCATTCAAAAATATTTGTATCCTCTCTATTCTTCATATTTTTCCTTTCTACTCTTGCCTCCCTATTATGTTATTTTAATTTTTTCTCATTTTGTTTTCTTATCAATAATTGCAATTATAATGCTATAATTGTACGTATTTTATAATTCCGTATAATAATTATAAATTTTTTAACAATTCAATTTCTTCAATATTTTTTTCTATATATTATAAACGAAAGAGTTTCTTTATTTTCAGTATATAAAACAAACAATTATTTAAATAAATAATGAAAATAATTGGCGTCAAACTAGTGTGCTATTTGACAAATTTATTAATATTTAATTATAACTATCCTGCATTTATCAAATAAATATTTAATTGTAATTTTAATTTTGATTATTAAAAAAAAATAAGTTATCAAAAAATTTTTGATATTCGAAAAAAATGTTTTATGCGAAATAATACTTTTGTTATTAATTTATAATAGCTATTATATACTTATTTTTATCATTTCGATAATTTATAATTTCGATTTTTGGAGTGTGTCTAATAATATGTAACAATATAACATTATTCATTTTTCACATAAATCTTCTGTAAACATCGGAACAATAGATTATTTTATCGCAAAAATCTTCAATATTTAATGAGAAATAATAGTTAATTGTTTAAACTCAGCATAAACCTATTAATGGGTAATGATAGCTAATTTTCCATCGTATTTTGACATTGATTTATTTAAGTTTTATTCTACAATATATTTCGGATCTAAATTAACAATTTTTATTTAAAAATCTACGTTGCATATAGTGATCTACATAAAGATATTTTTTTTCTTTCTTTTATTATAATTGAATATTTCTGATATTGATTGTCTGATTTATGAAAATGTAAAAGTATTTAATAATTACTATAAACTGTCTTATATTGTATATAATGAAGAATCAGCTGATAAACCTTAATCGTAAGAATGATGCTTCTTTAAAATATACGCATTATTTATATAAATGTTTTAAATATATTATTATAAAGTAAATAGGAATTTTATATAAATCTTTAACTATTGTGAATATTATTATTCAAATTAAAATCATGAAATCCGTTCTACGTTACACACTCCACAGATAATAACTTCTATAATTGATAAATGAATTGTTAAATGAATGAATTTTTCTTCGAAAATACGTTTATCAGCATCTTAAAAATCTTTAGAATAGAAAGATATAGTATAAATACATTTATATGTAAATATAAATTAAATGCAAATTAACGGAATTAAGTAAAAGTCGTAGATTTTTATAATACATCACTAAGGTTTCATTAGATTGACTTATTGATAATTTGTATTCGTTATATAAATATATATATGCCTTCTCGTTATTTTCAAAGCATTATTATATAATAGATTAAGATAATTTTAATAATTTTTTTTAATATAGGCATTTTACTGATGGTATTGCAGAAACAAATGGATATATAGTATATTGAATATTTCTCAAAATTATTGTAAATAAAATATTCATATTTTACTTATATTACATAATAATTATTAAGCACGTTTATAATAGATTAATATTATTACAGTATTTTTCGTGATTTGTGTTGTACAAGTAAATTTTTATTTTTTTTATTTCGTATTTTTCACAAATAGTATGTAATACACTTCGTTGGACACGTCAATTCGTTTCAATTTATTTCCTGAATACATTATTAGTTTAATTGAAACAGTTAGCAGTACTTCCTCTAGATTCTTCACAGTCAATTTATAATAAATTATTATCCATTTATTGAGGTAACAATCCAATTAATTATTATTGAATGTTAATTAATGTACGCAGATTATGTGACTAATTCGATCAACCGTTTAATCTGTCAATATTCATACATACGTACAATATATTTTATTTAATAAGAATATTATAAACACAAAAAATTATATACAAATAGAATTATTTACCTCTTAATGAATCAACAGCTCATATATTTAATAAAATTATTTGAAAGATTTATATATTGTATCATAATTTTTTACTGAAGCAAGTCAATAATATTTTTAATATTCATCAAATATTACATATATTCATTGCGCAATATCGTTTATTCCACGAATATTTATTATTACTAATTTGAATATGTCACAATATGAATCTAAGACATTCAGATAAAGTCGATTATTCAATAAGTATTTTTTTTTTTTTTTTTTTAACGTTTAAATAAATATATTCCAAATTTATTCAACGATACAAATAACTATTTTATGGTATATATTTAATATACATATTTTACAAAAGTTTAAACAACCGGTTATTTTAATAATAATTATGCATAAAATGAAAATTTATAGCAATTAAAACAATGCTATTTTTGACATATTTCTCTAAGTTTTTTAAACATAAGTATATATATAAACCATAAGTATATATTTATAAAGATTAATTATTTTAAGTTATTCGAAAAGATGTTATAAAATACTTTATTGAAGATAAAATAATTATTATATTAAATTGACTTTCTTTTTTTTTTTTTTATAATTTCTGAAATATTATTGAAATACAAAAAAATTTATTTACAATATAAAACTTAATTATTAGAAAATAAATGAAACATGTTTTTCTATTAATATTTTAATGTAATTAAAACACGAACGTTATATTTCCGTATAAATTACGGAATTTTAATTAAATTAAACTAAAAAATTATATATATATATATATATATACACACACACACATAATATAATACATAATTTTGCATATTCTTTATAGATAAACAAGCTTATATTTTTAATTATATATATCTATATTTTTAATATTTAAAAAAAAAATGAATTCAAAACTAAAATCGTGTGTTATGTATATATATATATATATATTATTTTGAGAAACTTATCAAGTATAATAATAATGTTACTTGCGTATGTACAATAATTTTATTTTTCTTCATATTTGGACATTTATAGCATTTTTTTATTATTAAAAAAGTGTTCGTGATGAAAACATTTTATGCCAATTTCTATTATCCTTTTCATAAATACAATACCAAAAAGTTGATTATTTGATTTGTTAATTATTATTTAATTGTTTCTCTCAAAGTTAATTATATTATTTTAATATTATCTAAATATTGGATAGTAAAATTACTTACCGATTAATTGTAATAATATTCTATTTTATGTGAAAGCAAAATAATTATTGATAATTTTAATTTAAATAAATAAATATATACAAAATTGTATTTATTGCGGATGATTCAAGATATTTAAATAATTGAAATAAACCGGCATTTTTAATTAAGTAAAAATTTGTTTAATTCATATGATTAGGGATTACATCATCATTTTTAATTAATAAAAATTTGCTTAGTAAAAAATTAATTTAGTATTTGATACGATAAACTTTCATTATTGAATGTTAATATTTTGATGTAAGACATAATAAAATAATGACGTATAATTTGTTATTGTAATTTTAGTTTTGTTTTATATAAAGATATCTTCAAAAAGTTTAAATACATAATACATAATACTGTTTAAGTACGCTGCTTCGTGAACTTTAGTCATTTTTTTGTATAAAATTAAAGAATTACAATTATTATACCTATAAATTGACAAATTATTTGTATTGAACTTAAATATACGAAAAGTCAAGAATGCTTTTATTATAGACAGATAAACGTTGTATGAAAATATTGAAATTTTTATAATCTGTATTGTGTTATAATTGTTAGTTGAATAACATATTGAATAGTTGAATACAAAGTAGTTAACTAACGTTGAATAAATTTTAATCGTTATATAATTATAATTTCATGATCTATTTAAATACTTCATTTTATTTCAATTAGGTTGCAACATCGTTCAAAATATGAGGACTTGGTGTCTTTGCTTTCTTATTTTAGCGATAACTTTCGTTGTAGAATCGTCAAAAATACAGGATTTGAACGAAGGTGTTCGAATTAATGGCGATAAGCAAGCGATAAAGGAAAAGATAAAATTCTCGAGGAAGCTATTGCAAGAGCGACGGGAGGTCAAAACATTTACAGTCAAGGGTTTCATAACATTCATCAGACTTCTTAATAATAATCGAGAACATGGGGCTACTCCAAGAATTACTGGTGGTGGAGTTGGTAATAATTATGTGAATATTGAATTCAGGAGTCGCAAAAGTCACGGCATTGACTTTGATATTGAAATTTATGAAACGGACAAGTGGGAATCAAAACAATGAAAATGCGATAACATAAGAATGATTTGTAACTAATTGTTTTTTTAAATAAATTTACTTTATTCGCATTATATATACTTTATTTTCTTAATATGATGATAATAATTAATGTAATAACTTATATAAATATTGCATGTAAATTTTGGCGTAAACTTTAATATATTTGTTACGTAAAAACAAAGACATAAAAAATCATATACATATATAATATATATAGTTTAAATGTATTTATTATCTAAGCAATTTTGTCGTATTTCTTAATAAAGCAATAATTTTGGAAAATAGCGCAATTGCAAAAGATGTTGAGAGGGGGGGGGGGAGGGATCCACGAAGAGCTAATAAAAAGGATAAAACGACCAGTGAAAGAATTTTTGTTAAATTATCAGCTAAATATATGCCTATGAAAGAGACTGATAATGTAAAAACTGAAGTTAAATATAATATACTTAAAATTATTAAAAACTAATAAGATATGGGATTTATAAGACAATTAAAATGAAAAGTCGAAAAATAAAAATAAGAAAGAGATTCTAAAGCTGAAACAAATGCTTAAAATTCGAGTTTGTATCGATTTATATGAAATGGATAAAAAAGATTTTTTTCTCATATTGTTCTGTAAGTTTGAACTTTTTCAAGTACATATAGTGTCTTTAGAAGTTTTTGATTCATAAGTTAGTAATGATACATCAGCCTCTCTCTCTCTCTCTCTCTCTCTCTCTCTTACACACGCTCATCCTTTTCTGAAAATTTTTCTTTAATATACATTATATACATACCAATATTATTGTATCATTATATTTAATTGATATTATTTACACGTAGTAAATTACTTTATAGACGAGATGTAGACAAATGTATCTTATGAGGAATAATCAATAATATTTACCAATGAATTAATTGTTAATGTTACAGCAACAGATTCACTGCAATAACCCAAAGATATAAGGAAACTTTATCATCTATGATACATATCATCTATTCTTATATACAAAATTTTATACAAAACTAGTGGAATAAGAAAAGCATAAAGAGAAGGAAATATGCGAGAATGAGAAGAAAAATATATTACATAGATTTTAGATATCGGATAGAAATAAACGTTGAAAAATACGCAAAAAATTTTTGAAAATTGAACGCGTAATAAAATTTATCGAAAATAACATTTATGGATCATAAATTAAGAAATAAACAAATTTAAAAAAAAAAAAATAAAAGGTAGAAAATATGTGTAGCGTGTTTAGCAAAACTATTTAAAAAATGTATCAGAGAAAGCTATTGACATAATTTATTATAATATTTCATTATAATACTTTAGAGAAAACAATCAAAAAGAATAAATGCTATTTTAAAAAAATAATAAACTGAAAAATACAAAGATGAGATAATGATTAATATTAAATATCAACAATGTATACAAAGATATATTAATTAATATTGAAAAAAATTACAAAATGTTTCAGACGAAAAATCTTGATACGATATGTTATGTTTTAATATAAATATTTTCAACAAATATCATAATTCTAGTGACTGCAGAATGTAAATTCGGAATAACAAGTTTGCTGCATAAAGTTTTAATGTATTTTTAATCTTGTCAATAAGATTTTCGAATGTAATTTTTTAAGTATACATAATTAATTATATTATATGATTTCTTTCTTTCTTTTTTCTTTCTCATCTCTTTCTCTTCTTCTCTTTTTGTTCATTCATCAGTTATAGTCTTTCTTATCATATTATAATGTAAATATTAATAATCATAAATAATCATAAATAGCTTAACGATTGCATTTTGCAAAAATTCAACAAGGAACAAACATTATTAATTCCGGTTAAAACGATATTTTTAGTTTAAGTCGCTGCATACACAATTATAAAACTTATAAAATGTAATGTAATAAATAACAACTTCAACATTATTTGACCTGTAAAATATCATCTTTAGTTTACGGTTATTTACTTTATGGCTATGATTAAAAAAAAAATATTATTACCAAAGCCTGAACTTTTGTATAAAATAATGTCCCATTATAATTGTGTAACGTATAAAGAGACACATAAATTGCTTTTTCTACATTTATTTTACGATGGCGTATCTAATGAAATGATTAATAATATAAATATTTTAACTACAATAGCTATAATATTAAAACAACCAAACTTAATTAGTTTTAATAAGTAGTGTACATGCATCAGGAATTCTGGATAATTAATAATAATGATGCTTTTCTTTCATTATTTTTTCTTCAGCAATAATAAAAAAATAATCGATTAAATAAAACAATGATGTAATTATCGTGTTAAATGATATTCCAAATATATAATATAATATTTATTTGTTTTAAAAGGCCATTTTAAATGATTTAATACGTTTAATAAACAATAAAATGATTCACGTTGCTCATCCTTGCACAAAATAGTATTGTTAAAAACATCAAATAAATTTCCTACATTACGAAATTATATTAAAATTTTAAAATTTTGTATTTAAAGTGATTTTATATAAAGAATCAAAAGTTTAAAATTAATCTTTTATTCTAATTACAATTTATCGATATGAAAATGTTCAAATAAGTTCTGTGAAATTGTTATGTTCACATTAGATAAAATAAGGATGAAAATTAATCTAGTATTTCATTATATATATATATATTTTTTTTTTACAAATTCCCAATAAATTTTTCTATTAGTAGTTTATGTCTATTAATAAATATTCATTACATTATTAAGTTTATCGCTGTATGCTTAAAAATTTTTATTATTTTGAATAAATATTATAATTGTATATTTTAATATTGAATTATTGCAGGATTTCTAATATTAAAATGATATTGCCTAGTTACTCGGTATCATTATAATGGACTCTGTCATTAACATTATCTCTTTCTCTTGTTTGTACTGCCGACAGTATAAAACAAATTTTTTTGTGACCCGTGTGTTGTCAATATATCATCATATTAATTATCCGAAAATGTAAACCTTTTTTAATTCTGATTATGATACGTAGTTTGTTCAATATTATCGTCTTGTCAATGTAGGAATAATAAATGTAAAATTAGACAAAAGAAAGAATGTAGTATGAGAACGTGCGATTTAATTTGAGGAAATTAATTTAATTATATTATCTTTTAAGCACTTAATGAATTCTGGAGAAATATTTTATGTTCCTGTTTGTTCGTTGATGTTCTTTGAAATATTAATTATAAATTTCTAAATGTGTATTTATTTTAAATAGAGTAATATATATATATATATATATATATATATATATATATATAAATATAAATTTCATATAGATTGACTAAATGAATATATTAAGAATTTTTATTAGTATTCATCTTTATTAGTCAGATTAATGTCGGCTTTTGTAGGGATGTAAACATAAAATTTCTCGTTCAAATTTAATCTACAGTAATAGTTTTAAACATTTAGTAGTTCATTTATTAAGCACTTTTGGCTAAAATATGTTTACAAATAATAAAATTGGTGTTACGTTTTTCAAATAAAAGTAATCAAAGAATATTTAAACACAATAAATTGCCCTTAATAGTCTCGTAAGAGCCTCGAACATTGGTAGAAATGAATATAATTCCTATAAAAAAATCAATGAAAATGATAATAATATAATAGTTAAATTTACAGGATATATGGGTATAAATAAAATATAAACTATTAAAATATTTGTCAATTTATTTGAAAATTAAGGACAAAGTCTATTGTCTATTGTGAAATTTTTTATTTCAATTTTATATTAATGTGCACATTCAATGAATTGTGATTATATTGTATATAGAAATAAAAATACTACTACCATTAAAAAGTAAAAGAAATATTTCACTTGTGAATAAAATGTGAATAAATGATTAAAAAAAAATTTCTTTTTTTTTTTAATATATTTTTAATATTGCATTCAATATTAAATTTTTGTCAATTCTCTTCCACATCTTATATTATTAATTGAGCTGTTATCTTAAATATTGATGTAAGCAATATTTTAGATCATATAAATATTTTTTAATTAATTATTTTGATTGATTTAATCAGTAAATTCGACTACTTATTCAACTTATTCATTTATAAAAGTAAGTTGTTAAGTCTTTCGATTAATTTTATTATAAAAATTCATGAAATTGCAATGGTAATAATTATGTTTTTAAAGTGATTTAATTCCCTTAAATGTTGTCCTATTGATATGTTATAAAAGACGTCATGTCTTTCGAATTTTTTTTTCTACTTGTACAATATTAATGTTGCATTATTAAAACGAAAAATCACGAGGTACGCTCTTGGCGTAAATATACAGAAATTTTTCTGAAATTATCAGATGTCTTAGAAAAATATATCGTTCGATGATTAACCTCATTATTATCGGATATGGAATTTCATCTCGAAAAAGCAATTGAAATTTTAAGCCTTTAACCCTTTCAGATATTTCCCTCTACTTAACAGCACATCAATACATCAATACGAGTCAATATAATAAAACTCAATGCTGAATGCGCATCCTAAATCTATCGAAACGTAAATTCTTCACACAAAAAATATGAATTGTAATATCTGCAATCGAAACATCTCATTTCTTTATATCTTCACATCTTTGTATCAATGATGATCGAAGATAGGCAGCTTTATCAAACTCGTGAATCCGATCGCATTGCTTGAAAAGAACAAAAACAAAAACATAAAAAAAAAAAAAAAAAAAAAAAAAAAAAAAAAAAAAGGAAAAAGATGTATAAAGGATAAAGGATCAGGTGTTTATTAAGCGACATGTTAATATGAAGCATCTCAGGTAGTCCTTTCAACGCTGTGCTTAGTATCCCTCATTATAGGTAGGAGACGTATAATATCGCTTGAATAAACCATTGTGCTTGTGCAGCCTGTGAGAGAGCAGTTTCCATCATGTAAGTAATATGACAAGGGCTCTTCTCTGTTACTATAATAAACATCGTTTGGTATATATATCATCTAAGAAGGTACTTTCGGTCGTACAGAAAAGATATGCGAGGGCTTTTGTTAAAGAAGAATAGGGCTAATGTATGTCTCTATCGAATGGTTTGTGAAATCTCTTGGATAATT